ATGAACAAATAATAAAATAAATGAATAAATAAGTGAAACAGACATAAAAAACACGTATAAAATAATAAAATAGATGAATAAATGAGAGAAATATTTATAAACGTGTAGAGAACCGAACGGCCGAACCTCGCTTCCATAACCGAGCTAAATATAACCTCGACTCCAATCTCGGCAGCGGCTCTGGAAAAAGAATGGAGAAAAGAAAGATAGGGAGAGAGAGAGAGAGAGAGAGAGAGAGAGAGAGAGAGAGAGAGAGAGAGAGAGAGAGAGAGAGAGAGAGGAGAGAGAGAGAGAGAGAGAGAAGAGAGAAGAGAGAGAGAGAGAGACAGAGAGAGAGAGAGAGAGAGGTGGGGGGGGGGGAGAAAGAAAGAAAGACAAACTGTCGCAAAGAGTGTGCAAATGAACTCAAAATACAAGCGCACCCCCCCCCCAAAAAAAAAAAAAAAAAAAAAAAAAAAAAAAAGATCGCCCTCGCACAAACAAAACCAACCAACCAACCGCGCTCCCTCTCGTGCCGGACTCGAGCTCCATCCGAGACCTCCGCTCCCGCCTGCTCTCCCGGCTCTCTCTTCCTCTCGGGCGCAACGATTTCCCGGACCATGACGCCTAAAAATACACCCCGAAACAGGCCACGGGTACGACTAGGACGACTACGGACATAAAAAAATATATATAAAAAATAAAATATATATTATGTTTATGATTATAGACGAAGCGCATTAATAGCACATGACATTTTTTTTTTCTTTATATTATCAGATTATTTCCTTATCATCATTGTCATCTTTTGAGTTTCGTTCAATACATTAAGATATTTTATGTATTCACCTCATCCCCTGCAATTAAGAACTAAAAAAATGTAAAAATGTGCTTTAAGGCGTTTTAAAGTAATAACTTTTCCCAGTAAACAGCTCCGTCCGTTTGTCCCTGCCTTTCTGGGTGACTGCAGGCGTGTGCGTGTGTGTGTGAGTGCAATACCTGTGTGTAGACTGGAGGCCAAATATAGACACAAATGTGCGTGTAAGCTCGAATAAAAGGAAGACCGTGTGTGTGACGTCATTTCGCATTTTCAAAACCTCGATCGGGCCTCTAATAAGGAGACGAAGAGGGCCGAAGGACAAGCGACAGAGACGTGGAACCGAAGTAGAAAAAGAGGGGGGGGGGAGTGGGGGGGTTAGGAAGGGGGTGGAAAGAGGGCGAAGGAGACGGAGACGGAAAGGGAGAGGCAGGGAGGAAGGAAGAAAAGAGGGGGAAGGGAGGGAGAAGGAGGGGAAGGAAGGAGAGGAGGGAAAGAGAGAGAAAGAGAGAGAGAAAAAGCAGAGAAAGAGAGAGAGAAAGCGACAAAAGACAAAACACACACTCTCTCCGTGAGACAAGAAGACCCGGACCCGCGAGCCACAAAGCCCAGCACTCAAACATGTCTCAAACATGCACCCGCAAAGACCCGAGCGAGGAAGCCATTAGAACGCCCCATCCGACACTCGACTCGTTGGTGATGCTCCATTAGCGTTTTTGCTTGCTGCATCTTGCTTTCTTGCTTGCGTCTTGCTTTGCTCTTCCTCCCTCATTCCCCCTTTCTCTCTATCCACTTCCCTCTCCTTTTCCCTCCCCTTCTCTTTCGCTCTCCCCATTTTAGCTTTCCCTCTCATTCTCCCTCCCCTTCGCCTTCCTCCCTCCTTCCCCTCCCTCTCCTCCCTCTCCCTCTATCTCTCTCCTCTCTCTCTCGCCATCCTTTTCCCTCCCCATCCACCCCACCCCACCCACCCTCACCCAACGCCAACGAGACGAAACACGACACTCAATCAGCCGCGGAAATGACGTGTATTAACTGCCCTTACACGAACGCTGGCCTCAAACCGACCCACTGTTGACACGCCGGACATATCGCCACCGTGCAACATTGAGCGGGCAACGGGATGCAACGCGCTGGACAGAGGGCGAAGGAGACGGAGGCGGAGGGGGAGAGGGAGGGGGAAGGAGGGAGGGAAAAAGAAAAGTGGGGGGGGAGGAGGGAGAAGCGAAAGGAGGGAGAGGGGGAGGGACGGACAGAGAGAGAGAGTGGGGAGGGAGGAAAAGAGAGAGAAAGAGAGGGAAAGAGAACGGGACAGGGACAGAGACGGAGAAACGCACTCAAAGACAAAGAGATAGATAGAGACAGGAATAGAGAGAGGAACAGAAAGTGACAGGGACAAGGGCCGGTAAAGACAGAAACAGAAACATGGGCAGGGACAGGGACACAGGAACAGAGACAAGAGAAAGACACTAACACACACAGCAACAGATAATCAAACAAAAGCAGGGGTTTAAACAAAGAAATAAACAGACAGACGACATCATGGAAGGGCAATTATCAAAGGCATTCCCTTGACCTCGTTAGCTGGGGTTTTAAATTTCTTGCATTAATGACAAGCTTATTACAGAATTTTTAAAACGTGATTTAGCCTTTGCTGTTTGGACTCCCGCTGAGTCCTTCCGCGCCATAATAACCCGTGACTCATGCTATCAAAGAAAACATCAGCAATAAGGACGATATCATATGCTGTTATTAAACGCCATCATCTGTAGTCCAAACGGCGATTAGCGTCCATAAAAACGTCAGCAGGCTGTCAGCAACATTATCCCTCTCAGCCTCTATTCTTCCAGATTGGCGGGCCGAGCGATGTCAGCTGAAAAAGGGCGATGGAGACTGACAGCGCATTTTCACCTCGCCGGGTCCTCTGCCTTTCACCCATCAACACTGATTTCCTCATTCACACTCATAATATGTATGGTGCGGGGGAAGAGGGAGGAGGGAAGGGGGAGGGAGAGGGAGAGGGAGAAGGAGGAGAAGGAGAGGAGAGAGAGAGAGAGAGAGAGAGAGAGAGAGAGAAGAGAGAGAGAGAGAGAGAGAGAGAGAGAGAGAGAGAGGAGAGAGAGAGAGAGAGAGAGAGAGAGATCTGTGTTTGTGTGTGTGGGGGGGAGGGATGTGTGTGGTGGGGAGAGGTGTGTGTGAGGAGGTCAATACACCTATACCTTACACCAACGTCAATCAATCTTCGCCGATCCCTATACCTGTGCTCTCATCCGAACCTCTTTCCTTCCTCTTTCTACCTGCACCTCTCCCTCCCTCCTTCCTTCCTCCCTCCCGGCCCTACACTCTCCCCAAATCCGTAGAAGCAAGCAGTACCCTCACCTTTATACCCCCCCCCCCTTTTCTTTTCCCCCCAGCCCTCCTTTTACCTCCCACTCCCACCTCCTTATACGTCTTTCCTCCCTATACCCCTTTCCCATCCCCTTTTATTCTTTTCCCCTGCCCCTCTCCCTTATACCTCCCTCCCATCCCCCTTATTCTTCTTCCCCCTAACCCTCCCCTTCCCATTCCTCCTTAAAATTTTCCCCTAAGCCCCCTTTATACCCCCCACCCATCCCTCCTATACAATCTTCCCCGTATCCCCCCCATCATACCAACCCTCCCAACCCTCCCCTCATACTCCCCCCACGCCCCAATACCCCCTCCACCCCCCCTTAACATTTCCCCAAGCCCCCCCACCCCCATCTACTCCCCCTCCTACCCAACCCCCTTCCTCACACCTCTCCCCCCTCCCTCAACCCCTTTCAACCTCTCCCTCCCTCCCCCAACCCCCTTCCTCAACTCTCCCCCTCCCTCCCAACCCCTTCCCACACCTCTCCCCCCTCCCTCCCACGCCCCTTCCTCACACCTCTCCCCCTCCCCTCCCAACCCCTTCCTCAACCTCTCCCCCTCCTCCAACTTCTCACACCTCACCCTCCCACCTCCTTCCTCCACCTCTCCCCTCCCAACCCCTTTCCTCACCTCTCCCCTCCCCCTCCCAACCCTTCCTCACAACCTCTCCCCTCCCTCCCAACCCCCTTCCTCACACCTCTCCCCCTCCCCTCCACCCCCTTCCTTCCCTTCCCCCTCCCTCCACCCTTCCCAACCTCTGCCCCTCCCTCCCAACCCCCTTCCTCACACCCTCTCCCTCCCCTCCAACCCCTTCTTCACACCTCTCCCCTCCCCCCAACCCCTTCTCAAACCTCTCCTCCCCTCCCAACCCCCTTCCTCAACCTCTCCCTCCCCTCCAACCTCCTTACACACCTCCCCTCCCTCCAACCCCTTCCTCACACCTTCCCTCCCCTCCCAACCCCTTCTCACACTCTCCCCCTCCCTCCCACCCCCCCTTCCTCACACCTCCTCCCCCCCCTGCCCAACCCTTCCTCACACTCTCCCCCTCCCTCCCAACCTTCCTCCACCTCTTCCCTCTTCACCAACCCCTTCTCAACCTCCTCCCTCCTCCCAACTCCCTTCTCACACCTCTCCCCTCCCCTCCCAACCCCTTCCTACACCTCTCCCCCTCCCTCCCCTTCCCCACATCTCCCCTCCCCCTCCAACCCGCTCTCCCCCTCCCCTCCCAACCCCCTTCTCCCCCCCCCTCCCAACCCCTTCTCTCCCCCTCCCTCCCAACCCCTTCCACTCTCCCCTCCCTCCACCCCTCTCACACTCTCCCCTCCCCTCCAACCCCTTCCCTCACACCTCTCCCCCTCCCTCCAACCCCTTCCTCAACCTCCCCCCCTCCCCCCCCAACCCCCTTCCTCACACCTCTTCCCCCTCCCCTCCCAACCCTCCTCACACTCTCCCCTCCCCTCCCAAACCCCTTCCTCACACTCTCCCCTCCCCTCCCAACCCCCTTCCTCAAACTCTCCCCTCCCCTCCCAAACCCCTTCTCACACCTCTCCCCCCCTTCTCCCCGCCATCGACCACCACTCATCGACTCCTGAATACTGCAAACTCCGCAACACGGCCTGCATTAAATACACATCAAAGGGTTCGTTTCAATATTCAGCATCTTCTCTCGTCGACCTTTGGGATGCTGCCGCTACCGGAGATTGGATTCCTACAGCGTGTTCGACTTGTTGGTACACTTACTTGTTTATTAGAGTTTCAGGAGTTTATGTCAGTATAAGCGTGATTATATATACGCAGAAGGCAATATCAATATCGGAGT